AATCTTAGAAAGACTTCTTGTGTTGAAAGAATTGATATTTACATACCTTTTTTTTCTTTTTTAATTTAACAAACTGTTTTTATATTTAAAGCATATTAATTTTATTACACAACATTATTTAATGATACAGATATTTCTAAAATTCTATCTAGCCAATGAAGATCATTCTATATGCATTTTTCCTGTCATAATTGTAGTAACCAGTATTTATATAATTAAGCACCACAACTCGCAAATACAATCCTAGAAAATCCATGAAAATTCATCATCTGAGTTGCCTGTCATATCCTTCACTCATACTCTTGTCTAGAAGTACCAGCAACATATGTACATGCTGTTGGTGCTACTTATGTTCTTGTAATTAGCCCGACTGCTGTTACTCCATATCCCCAAATATTACTGTACTATTTTGTGGCTGTGTTTATTTTAAACAGCACAAGAAGCATGGATTCGCAGGAGCAGTAGTCTTAGATACCAAGTTGTTCTTTCAGAAGAAATTTGTTTATTCATGGGAATAACTTTCCTAAGCTTAGCCACTGCTTATTATCAAAGTGCATAAATATACATTGATCTGCTTAATTTAAATTATAAAAAATAGAAAGCAGAAAATTTGTCAATTCGGCAGACTGTACTTTTCAGCAGTGTCAAATAACAGACATAATTCTGTGCAGCTCTTGAATAGCAACAGAAAAGAATAGCCATAATGTGCCAAAGAACTACAATGTGCCAACCACCGAGAATTCTGATGACAGAGATAGAGAAAACAGAAATATAAAGAAATTAACTGATTTGTTTATGTGCACACCACATTAGCAATAATTTGGGAGATAATATCCCTGGTTTTTTGCCTCTTCAAGCCTGTGTACACTGCACAGTGCCATGTCTCCTCCAAAGAATTGCAGATGATGAAACATCATCTTTGCTTTGAGTGAGATGAAAATGCTATAGAAATAGAAAACGGAAATTTTCATAAGATCAGACTGTAGGAGAGCACTAGGTAGCCTTGAGAGAATCCATTAATAAAAATACTAAGAAAATTTTCTATGATTTATTGTATGTTTTCTATGTATCCAGTTACTCCCCTCTTCCTCAAAGGATTGGTGGAATATAACATTTCTAACAATAAAAGCTTAATGGAATCAGATTTGTGATTTCCTAGAAAATTAACGAGATATTTTGTCAATTTTATTCCAGACTTCATTTGTCAGAATACACAGTGTCCAGTGACAAGCTAAAAGAATTTTTTGACAAATTAACTATGCCACAGGTGACAGATCAGGAAAATGTTAATTTAACAGCCCCTTTATGCTTCCCAGATTTATTGGAGGCTATTAAGGAAACTCCAAATGGTAGGGCCCCTGGCCCTGAATAGATTTTCCATTGAATTTTATACAGGATCTATTAATAAAGTTTGATGCTGCCTTTTTGAATATAGGTAATTGTACTTTATCTTCTGGGTCTCCTCAGCATTTACAGTTGGAATACAGTTTTTAGTTGGGAGAAAAAAGTAATTATGCTTCCAGAAGTGTCTGTAATCTGGTTCTGAATGATTCCTCCTAAAGAAGAGACTACAAGCACGATATAAAACCCACAAGTTATTACTAGTTAAATCCAGTGTGGCTAGGTCTTAGACTCTCGGCCACTGAGACTAATAATTGGATCCCTTTTATTCAGTCCCACCACCTACAAATCCTTACCTAATAAGCTTTGCACAGGTAAGTAATTGAGCTCTGTGGGACTTCCTACACAATTAGTATTTTGCAGGATCAGACTAAGAATATGGATTCATTCTGTCCTGTAGACAGGTACCTGACGTTTTGGATTTCTAACGCTGGTTTAGAACAAATATCATCAATTTGCAATGAACAGAGTGGTGATTTCCTCCAGACCCCTTTGACTTGGTGATGGATCAGTCTAAGCCTTGACCCCTGTGTTTATAGGCCAAACTAGTGTTTCCTACCTAACTTGACAATGAATGTTCTCATTACTAACAGAAAGAGGTTTCAGCCTCTCTAATATCCTATGGCAATCAGTTTTACAGCACTTTTAATTAATAAAAATATTTCACTCACTTTTTAAAGATCCCAAGTACAATAGTGATGCTTTTGAGCCATTTCCTGCTGTTGGTATTGCTCCCTGTGCTCAAAGAGTAGTTGGAATCCTAATATGTGTACGAATTACCCCTGGTTTAAGTCACCTGCCATCTTGATGTTCATGCTGAGTGTTTGTGAGTAAGAGAACAAAGATATCAGTAATGGAGGGAGTTTGGACAAGCAAGATGATAAAAAATAGACTGGAGGAGGTAGAGATGGGGAAGACCAAAGAAAAGTTTATTTAGAAAACAACAAACACAAAGCAACAGCACAGTGTAGGGCAAAGAAGAAAGAGAAGCACTGTGAAAGGTAGACCAAGGAAAGTTACCATCTTATTTGTCACAGCTGTAAGATCAGGGTCCCTAGGATGTGTTTATTTTGTAAATGCACGTGCTTATTGGATTATGAGCTTATAAAACACTCTGTACTTGTAGTAGCGGCTAATGGAATAATCTAGTCTTTTTGGTTATTAGTTACAGTTCTCGGCTCGTTTGTCCATTCTCTGGTCTTATGCTGTGTACATCAGTTGTAACCTTGGCATTGACTCCCACATCTGGTTGTCAATTTTTCTTGGATTTTCCATTATCAGGACTAAGCATTACTTATGATTCTGCCATCATTGGATTTAAATGTGTAACGAACTTAGCATCCCAAGGAGTCGCATTCATTTCCTTGGTAACTGCTATTTACTCATTCAAACGCAAATGCAGTTGAAACAACAGGTCTCCCATTCTGGCTGGTATCTCCGGTCATGACCATAATGCTCACAGCCTTGTGTGTGTTCGTACATTCCCCTGGTTAGTGTTTGCACCTGGGCAAAGACAGGGATAGACTTTGAGACCAGTGATTCGTTACCTGATACCAGCTTAATTCCCCGTAAAAATAAGTCCTGTAAGTAGAAAAGGAAGAGGAGAAAGAAAGAGAACAAAAAAACCTTATTTTTTTAGTTCTGTTGTGTTAATGATTTCCTTGGAGAGGTAAGGTCATGGGTATGGGTGGTATCTCAGAGTCTCAGGCACACCAGCTCACTAGCTCATCCAAAGGCTTGTTAAGGCTTATCCAAACAAGGTGAAGGAATGTCCCATATTCTGCTACAAATCTAACGTTTCTTTTTAAATGAGTAAAAACAATTTATTCTTACCTTAAAAACACGGGAAGAGGAGGTATCTGCACTATAAAAATGCTTTCTTAAAAACCAAATTCATTATATTTGGATGTATTTTAATAATACTTTTAGCTATGCTAGTATGAATAACTTTAATCTTTAAATTCCTATTATTTCTCTAATTTATAATCACACTGAAGGATCAAATAGTTTTTAACAATATATTGAAATTAGCACATGGCATTTAACTCCCTGTTTTATACTCTCATCATAGATTTATAGTATTGAATCCTTTTATTCTGTTACTTAGAATTCCGAGTGATGAATTTGAATAATGCTTTCTTCTCTCAAGGCCCATACACGTATAGAGATAGATAGAGATATATAGTTACATCAGGGCTACTCTTGAAGAGGGGATCAGGATGTACAATCTTTTGTCTGTTTAAAAGATTACTGCTTTAAAAGTGCAGTCCTATCTGCAGTAGATTAAACATTTTTTTCTTGTAATGCAAACTTTATAGATCTTTATGTTGCTATGTATTTTATGTTTTGTTTAATTGTTAATCTCCAAGTGCCAAATAGATTTTTTTTTTTTTTTTTTTAAATACAGTGAGTTCCAATAAAAACCAGTATTAGTTAATCCTTTTTGTTGTCTTCAAATAGTTCAAAATAGTTTAATGGCTCAGTTGCGTGTGTGATTTTGTTCTTCTCCTGGCAAACCAAGGTCAAGCCTATTTTTAAACATCATCTTAACCTCCACATATGATCGACATTCATTTTTGCCACAGTTCTCTGCTTAGGTTGTGTTACCTGGTTTGATTTTCCTTGGATGAGCAGTCTGTGGTGTCTGGCTGGCTGTGACCTAAGCTCTGAGCTTAGTAGCTGTTTCTGAATTGTTGGCATCTGTAAGATTCAAGTTTAGGTCTCTCTGATTTATCTGTGTAGACCACTGCCAGCTGTGGCAGGCTCTTCCTTTTCCTCCTTTCTGTGGGAATGTGCTGGCCAGGCTCCAGTCTCCCCTTTTACGTATGCTGAGAGTTTCCCTGCATTTTATCCCATTGTGCATCCAGGTGTAAGCTCCTTTGACTCCTTTTGGTACTGTAGCAGGGGAAGGAAGGCAAAGGGGAAAGGAGGACGATGAGAGGAGTCCCAAACTAAAGCTGGAGGGGAACTAGAACAGTGAAAAGCAAGTAGCATTGGCAATCCTGGCGTGTTCCAGAGCTAGAATAACTAGTGATGAGACAGGCTGCCTTGGTACTGCCACGGAAGATGCCTCACCTGTGCCCAGGTACCAGAGAGGGAGTGCTAGCTGTAGGAATAAGGCACGGTAAGTTGGTAGTTCTGCACGTGAGGGAGGCGAGCTTTTCAAGTAGTGGGAAAGAACTACAGAAGAAAGCAGAAATGTAGAAACAAGGGTAATGCTAGTATTAAATGCTGATGGAAAAATGGTTTTGAAGTTTTAGGGGTAGGATTGTCAGTTCTCTCTTCCCCCCCTTCCCCCATCCCACCTTTTCTTTTTTTTTTTTTTTTTTTTGATCCTACAAGAACATGGGATCTTGCAGTGAAGTTCAGACTTTTTATGGAAATCTGTGAAATCATTGCCAAATATTTCATGTCATTTTTACAGATACATTAAACAGCAGTAAAAGAATTGGAATTTAAACGTTCAAGCTTCTTCCAACCTTAAGTCGTAGCAGTGTATTTTAATCTTTCTACTGAAAAGAATTCCATCTGTACTAGGTTTTGTATTAGCTCTGTCATACTTTTGTACATTCTAATGAAATATATTTTCTCGACAGGGTCATGTTGGTACAACGGCAACCAAAAAAATTGATGTCTACCTCCCACTGCACACAAGCCAAGACAAACTACAGCCCATGACAGTTGTGACGATAGCAAATGCCAAGGTGCATGACCTGATTGGACTAATATGCTGGCAATATACAAGTGAGGGACGGGAACCAAAACTGAAGTAATGTTCTTTCTTTACTACCTCTTGATCTCTAATTTTCTTCTCTGCAGCCCTTTTGCATAATGAAATGGATTTCCATGTCAATGTTTTTATAGATAAATCTTAGAGAAACCACCTACACATTTATCAGTATTTCCTTTTGAGCAGTACACATGCATCTATATCCATTTCTCTTTCAATTAAACTACCGGATACTGTATAATGATAAGCATATGAAACCATGGATCTGTAAATGAATCATAATTTCAAAACACTCTATGTAAAAATAATATAAATCTTATCTCTTTCGGTGTCATGGAGACATTTTTTATTTCATGTCCCATCTATTTTTCGGTAGTGTTCTTAATGGCTAAGATCACAAGGATGTCAAATAAAATCCAGAACTCATCTGTAACTCCCTCTTTTGTTTGTTCTGAGAGAAGGTACCCAGATTCTGACTCTGTTTGGTCTGCACGGTACCAGTTCCTCCTACAGATTCATAGAGAGAAGAATCGCTGTACTGGGTGACAGTGTGTCTTGGAAGTACTCTTAGTGTTCTCCCGAAACCATGGAATAGATTTTAGCCATAGTGAGTATATCTGAAAACAAGTCATGGAACTTCAGCATTATCACTTACTTGCTTTCTGCTGTCATTATGCTGACATAATAACTTTAATTCATTATACACGTGTTAAAATATTTCTGCTTTTCTAAGAATTGTCAGGTATAGGGGCTAAAGGTGCTTTTCTTTCTCCAGGTTATCATCCTGGAGATAGCACTAAAATAAAGATATGCAAATAAGATCCTGAAAACAAAATAAATACAATTTTTTTTTCGAAATTGTGAATAAAGTTGCATTCTTTAATTCAGAAACCTCTGTCATGCAGTATTTTATAATTTCTGCAAGACTTTGACCTCAGTCACATTGGCTCTTTGCTGTAAAGAGCAGCATCTATGTTGTCCTCAGAAATTTTAGCTTCAGTTAATCAATGGATTTTTTCAGTATCTTTAGTAATCATGGCTTATGTCTTCATTGTGAAAGAGTTCTGCCCCTAAGATTTCTGTGACTAAATAATGGATTGGATTTGCTGTGCTGGAGAACTAGTGTTGTCTAGTAAGAGCCATTACTTTATCATGGAGGTGACATAGGGTATTTAAAACAGGTACTTCAGAGCCGCTCATCTGAGCAACTTTGGTTTTAAAACAGTTCTGTAAAATACTTCAGTTTTTGCTGGGTCATAGAACATAAAATAAGAACTTAAAATAGTTTATTATGGAGTTATTAGTAACAGATACTAGTGTGTGACTTTCCTAGTGCAAGAAGGTTAAGAGTTTTGTTTGTTTTTTTTCTATAGGAGTCGATTTTCATTTTTTTGTTGTTCCTGGAGTATTTGATGAATGGGTGTTTTTGTACTGAATTTTACAGTTTGCTCTTTCAGCATTTTTCAGAAGTGTTTGAGGACTAGTAGTCTTCTCTCCGATTGTAGCACAATTGTAAGGGGGAAAGGGAGGTGCTGAAAGGTTGCTTGAACTGCCCTTCATTAGGATTAGTTGATTTCTGTTTAGTAGACACAAGGCAACCCAGAAAAGCAGCCCCTCTTGAAAACAGTTTCATGGGTATTGTTGCCTTGGATATAGGATTTCCCTTAGCTCTTCTCAACAAACATATGAGATGTTTCGGAGGTTAAACACTTCAGTTTGATTTGTCATTTTTTTATATTGGAGAAGAAATATAAAATTATTTTCAGATGGTGCCATTTCATTTGCTGTTATTAATTTCTGATCGTTGTATCATAAGTTCAAAAACGTGTCCTTTGTGTATGATTAGCTTATTTTTTAACGAGTAAGACACCACTAATGTCAATCTGTGGACACACGTATTTTTCAGGAGCACAGCACACCTCAAATGGAACAATGCCCATGAGTAGAGGTATTCCATGAAACATCATTGCCCACGGCAAAAGTCAGCAGTGGGAGGAAATGAATTTCACTGTGTGCCTTGAAGGATAAGATGTTATGATGTGTCAGAGAGTGATCATGACCAAGGAGGCTGTCTAATGTAATCAAATCTCAGGACAGAAGTAATAAAATAAATAATGGAGGCATGAGTTTCCAAGAACAGTCTAACAGCAGCAATTGAGAATCTGGGTACAAATGCTCAGAGGAAAGGGCAGAGCCTCAAGTTACAAGAAGTTTGTCTTCTTGTGTAGTTCTTAATTATTTCTCATGTCTCCATCATCTTTTTTTAACATTGCTGACTGCCTGTCCTGTAGCAAGGATTGATTTAACTGTAGACTAATTCTTATCATTTCCAAATACGGAAAGAGCTTGTGCAGGTTGCACATTCTACATTTGCTGTTGGTTCCCGGTTTAGTCAGTTGAGAGTACAAAAAGGAAAAATGGGGATCATTGTGACACTGCACTAAAATACATGTAGAGGATGCTTCAAATCTGATATACAATGTATGCAGAATGACAAACATACCCACTAGTAACACAGATTGAGAATAATGAGGAGGTTGTAGACTTTGTAATTAAGAGAAACAACCCCTCTGTCTTTAGGAAAAGAATATATTACCGCCTAATTCTTTTTCCTAAAAGGTAGATGTAAGAGTCTGAAATGAGTGAGTACTAGTTGACAGCTTTGAGAACGTTTTGTATTCAGTTAGGCTGCGTTTTTTTATTACAATTGTATTACATTTGTCTCTATTCAGTGTCTTGATATGAGGAACCACTGACTGTTAGCAGCCCTGTTCCTGGCCTCTTACAGGTGAACTTTGGTCATAACCGACTGGACCATTCTCTTGCCAACCCCTGACAGATGTGCTGTAATGATTCCACCTGCAAAGAATAAACAAAATCCCTTTCTAGGAATAAATTAATAGTGAGATGCAAAATTCAAATAAACTTCCTATTTTTAGAAGTTGAGAATGCTATTACATCTGTCAGTTGTTGTACTTAACTTTTACATTCTGTCCATAGCAAACGCGGATTCTCAAGGCTTTGTACCTTGTAATTTGAAGCCTAAAGTTCAGGACTTCGATCTAATCCTCATGGAGGTTCAAAATGCAGAACAGTTTTACCCATTGAACTTGTTTTTTCAACAGATTGTGACTTAATCTGTGTTAATGTTCAGGAACCCACTCCATGTTTGAAGACATTTGTAACCATTTTAATTTATGGGATTTAACTGACGTTGTGTATTTTCAGTGTAATTGGTGGAAGATAAGTTATTGCCACCACTATCTTTTTTTGGCACTTGGATTGCTTTGAGATCGCACTGAATGTGTTCTGTTGCCGGCGTGTCTATATGTTCCTCTGGCTTTAATGAGAATTATGTAAATGCATCAAGTACCGAATGAAAATGTTAACTTTATTTATGCAGAGCTTTAAGTGCGCACTAGGCTGCACATAGAAGAATTCTGTCAAACGAATAGGTTAGAAAATCAGCAGTGTAAGGCACTGACCACAGCTGTGGGAAGATGGGAATGGGGTGACTGTTCAGACTGGAAAGTCTCATAGCGTGAGGTGACTTGAGTTATGTTGAACTGGACAGAATGAGCATGCAGAGCCTGGTGTCTGTATTCGTAGAAATCTAAATAGAATAAGACAAGGACACGAAAATCGTGCCAGGCGTTTCTCGTTACGTAAGCAGGATCAGCTGTATCTATATTATTCACAGCCTTTTTGTTTAGCTTGTTCCTAGGACGACTGGCACCAATGCAAACCACACAACCTCCTGGCTGAGTAGGCTTTCTCTGGTTGTCAGAGCCCTGGTGCTGTACGAATTCTCTTCCCAGCACTACCTTTCACCAGTTTCCCTAAAAGTTACTTAAGCGCTCTTGAAGAAGTTGAAAATCAGTTCTACAGCAATGTTCCAGTTCTTCATAACAGTCCAGGGACTCATGGAAGTTTCTTTAATAGTATTGTAGAATTTTCAAAATTCATAGTGACAAACATTGCTGGATTACCTTTTTGTTAGCAAATTTACAGCTTACAGTAATAGTAATACATCGTTACTACCTGTTGTATGTAATAAATGTCTTAGTTGTGACAAGGTACATATAGATCACCTGGACTAAGCACTCTCAATAAAGCACAGTTGCAACCAAAGTATGTGAATTAATTGAGAAAATTGCAAATCAGGTAGTCAGTGAAATAATTCATTGTCACATCCAATCAATAAACTTTGTAAATCAACTCATTTAATTCAAAAAATGATCTATATAGATCAAGCGACCAATTAAACAATTAGCATACACTTTGCAATTAATTAATTTAAGCATCAATCATGCAATTAAAACTCCAAATTTAAACTGCAGAGTTTAGAAACACACTGCCACGTGAACATTCAAGCTATACTTCATGGCTGTGGAAAATGCCTGAATGCTGGCACATTTATAGTAAGAAAGAATACTTATTTTCAGCTCAGTAATTTAAATATTAGCATTTGAAATAGATTTTAATACTGGGAAAATATGATTAATACTCTGGTATATATAGATAATCATTTCCCTATGGGCTTTTGTTTGTGGAAAGAAAGAGGCTTAGATTTTTCTTCCGTATTTTCTTCACACCGTATCTCTTTAAAACTTTCTGTGTTATTTAGTTCTGCTTATTAGTTTATACTAACTTTTAAGTAGTTTTAGTGATTGGACTTCTTAGATGTCTAGAAAAGTTAGCTTTTCTACTAGTCGTTGCTACTATGTTGAACAGATTTTTTATTCTTCCTGTAGTTTATTACACTGTTTACCTGCCCGAGAGCCTTCTCAGCTTTTCAAGCGTACGCTCAGTAAACTTTTCCACAGTTACTTGATCTATGAAAAAATAGAGAGATACTGCTTGTTTGTCTTCAATTCTAAAATGTAATGGTCATATAAATAAATAAATTTTCACAAACAGAGAAATATTGCTTCCAGCTTTATGAAGTCATGAAACTTTTATAGATTTTGGTGTATTTTAATCACTGTCAGTCTTTCGCTTGCAGTTCAGTTAACGATGAAGTAAGACTCACTGCTTTACTCTGAGGTTTTGGGGTTTTTTCTATTACCACATGGTTATGGTAGCAAGATATGTTGGGACTTTGTTTGGACATATTTATATACATGCCATCAGTGGCTTTTGAGTATGTTACTCCTGTAATAAGCCTGTCTGCCAATTTGTTTTCTACAGCATTTAGCAACTGGTATTGATCGGCTGAACTGGATCGGTTGTCTAGTTTCCCTCCTGAATGAACTTGTTTTGTCTTTGTTTCAGCGACAACGTCAATGCCTACTGTCTCCATATTGCTGAGGATGATGGAGAGGTTGACACAGATTTTCCACCCTTGGATTGCAATGAGCCCATTCACAAGTTTGGCTTCAGCACTCTGGCACTGGTTGAAAAGTACTCTTCTCCTGGCCTGGCAGCAAAACAGTCGCTCTTTGTTCGCATGTGAGTATGGATGCTAACTTTCTCAATCTCTGGGAAACATCTGTATGTCCGTGCCACCTCCACGTCTTTTTTCTTCTCTACTTTTCTTCATCTGAATGTAGCGAAACTCAGGGGCGCACGTATTCACGGTTCTCTGCAGACGATGCCTGGTCTGGGGTCTGTCACGAGGCAGGTAGAAAAGCAAATGCTGCTGGCAGCAACTCGGGTGAGCCCATCATTGTGAGTCTAAAGCTACAGAGAAGAAAATAAGCCCTTCTGCGTATGATTAGTATGAAGAACATTGAACTGTTGCACTGCTGCTAGTAAATACTTGGAATGTACACAAAATCTGAGCTCATAATCTTCATTTTGCTCCAGCCGTGCTGCTTAGTTGTGAAAAATGTTTTGAATAATAAATGAAATAATGTATATAATAGCTTCAGAGAGTTAAAATTATAAAGTCATGCATGTTGGGTATCCAGAGCCCTTTTCAACAGGTATTAAGAACTGATCTTGCTAGTGATTTTTAAATTATTTTGGGAAAATGTATTGAATTTTAGCAGGGGGAAAAAAAAGTGTACTCATAGTGTTTGGGTGTTCCACATATGAGAGACTTCAAAATCTTCTTTCAAAGCCTGATAGACAAAGTAGTCAACTTGCATTTTAAGACTGGTTAGTGGACTGAAAAGCAGGGAATTTTAAATACAAATTAGTTGCAGAGTACATTAATAACAATGCAGTGATTGAGGAGAGATATGAGCAGTAAATGAGCATGCCAGCTAGAGCAGGACTGGATATACCACTCTAGAGTCCAGAAGTATTTTGAAGAAGAATACCCCGTCCGCCACTGAAACTTGAAGCTGTCTGGTTTGTAGCTCAAGAAGAATTTGCTGTATTATTATCAGTGAATTAGGGTTTGAGTGATATATACTATGCTTGATCACTTTTATTTTTCTTTACTTGTGAGTGAAAAATCTTTTAAACCATCGGAAGGCCTTAATTACTATAACAAAATAGTAGTAGCATAAGCCACTTCTTACTTGGGAAAAATATTTAATGTTTGGATCTCTTGAAATGAAAATGCTAATAGGGTTTTCCTGGCTATTGGACATTTTTTTAATTCATAAAGGATTACTTACATTTCATAACCATACAGCTGCTTCTGGTTTTGAATAATCAGACATTTTAAAAAATTTCTGAGCTATTTAATTACATTTTTATATTCTTTATTGTGGATTGTGCTTCTTAGAGACATTCTAAAGCATCCTACTGAAAGAAATTTTCAGAAATCCCACATGTATTTCCCAAAGGCCCATTCACTTCATTCCACTGTATTAGGTTATTGGAAAATAAAATATTCTGTCAACAGTATTTACAAATAAGTTATTCAAGGTAAACATACTCAGCTGTGCTGAACTGGATGCAGTCATGTGGAATCTGATACAAGGAGGAAATGAAGCAGTCTTGCCAGTCATATTACAAGGTCCGTTTTTGGTTTGTGCAGGTTACAGTCACACAGTTGAGCCAGGCAACTGACTTCTCCATCTGTGGAATTGCGGGATGTTTAGTTCCTTCCACCTGACTGAAGAACGCTGCATGTTTTCTCTGAAAGAGGGAATCTCTCTTTCACCTGCATGCATTTCTCTGGAGTCAATGCTATTGCCATGGATTTGATTTTTTTAATTTTATGATTCTATGATTCTTTTATCTTCAAGATAAATCTGCATTATCAGTATCCCCAGAAAAATTCTAGCAGGTATACAGAAAATTCTATTCTAATTCCATGCAATCAAAAAGGATCAGGAGTGTTTATTGCAGATAGACCAGTTAAGAAGCCTGTATCATTAGAAGATTCTAAATTGTTGATGACTTCTAATTTCGAAAAAGTCCCCTTTCTTTCTCAGCTGCCTCCTATCCACATCCCCATTGCCTGTACTCAGTACATGGATAGGGATTAGTACTTAAATGCAGTGAACACATGAGGTCTCAGATTTTGGACGTTAGCTTGGAGGAGGTGGAACTGGTGTTCCCGTGTGGAGCCCAGAGACCTCAGCAGGATCCTGGCCGGGCCAGCAGTTCACTGACTGGTGCTTGTAGCAGGATTAAGGTCCAGCTGCAAATTCTGCAAAACAAATGTGAAATCTTTTGCTTTAACATAATTTGTGCTCATGTGAGGACCTTCTTTCAAACTTGGGAGGTCCTGCTGATTAGAAATAGGACAACTGCATCATAAGTAGTAGTGCTTTTCTGAGAGGTTTTTTTTCTGTGTCCACATGTTAATTTGAAATTGCTTGTACTTCCTGTGTAAATAGTTATTTGTAAATAGTTAGATTTAAGTTAGAATTTTTAATGTGTCCCCGAGAATAGAGAATTACTTGATCATCACTTCATCAAAAGATTGTTACTACTGTGAGTTTAAATGTGCGTGCTATCTTATTTTTGTAGGGATTTGTTGTAAATTCTACATCTTCTTCCTTCCCTGTCATCCTACTAGTGCACGTAATTGTGTTTTTATATTTTGCGTTTCTTTTTTTTCCTCCTCATGCTGAAGTATTTCAGCTGCTGCTGGGTCAGGCTTGTGACTCGTAATGTTTATTAATATTGAATCACTGTTGAAAAAAGTTGATGCTTCTGAGAAGCTTCATGGTGAAGCATGGTGTTTTATTTCAGATCTCACCCGTCCTGCATATTGGATATATTTTCAGATGTTGTGCAGTTACCGAGCTGACAGTTATGGAATTCAGCAGGACATGTTTGAGCACAAACAGTTTGCAGAACTTCATACACTTAAACTCCTGCCAAGGCAAACTCTTAGCCACTTGAGTTAGTTATAAATACCCAGTGGCGGTGGTTGGAAGTAGCCCACAGTGCATTTTATATTCCGAGCTGAATGTGAATGTCTTTGTGGCTATATAGAGTAGTAAATAATTGAGTTTGATTAGGGAGAGGGACCTCATTATCCCCCCACCTGTGCCCAGCTGGTAGGGGAGGGTCGAAATGAAGCCATTAGCTGTCTCTCTTACTGGCATCTCAAAGAGCTCAAATACATCTGTGTCTTATTTTCTTTTCTGGCACAATCAGTCGAGCAAGCTAAGCAGGCATGACTGAATTTGGCAAGTTCCAAGGACTCTGGCAAAGTTACACAAGGAGAAGACGGAGGGCAGTCATTCTGGCTTCTAACTGCCCATTAGTCTAGCGAGTTATGTTTTTGGAAAATGTCTGTTGTGGAAAGGAGTACTTTGTCCAATGTCAAACACAGCATTCGCAAACAGCCTTCTTTGATGTCGAGTATGATTTGTCAGGAGGAGTCAAACAAAGCACTGCATTCATGTAAATGCAGGCTTCTTGAGATGATGAAGTAATACCTGAAAGACTGAACGAAGGTAGCTTAAAATAAATCTGTACTATCATTAGGGTTTTTCCCCTTGGAAATTTTATTATCACAACTTGACATACTCGATCTAATGGTGTTTCGAGGAGTTGTAGCTCAGCTGCCAGTTGGCACATAGATGAAATTTGGCATACAGTTCCTCTGCTCTGTAGCACTTTTTTCTGTTTTGATATTATGTTTAAATTGCTTTGACTATTATATATATATTTTTCAAAGCAGCACTTCTGCTATACCTGATAGATTAAGGTTTGAAAAACTTTTAAAATATCAGGCTTTCATAGTACATTTACAAATCCAATTCAAAGCTTTGAAATGTGTTTTTTACTTAAATTACAGAAGCACTCCCCAAAAGGCCTGCTATCAGTTTTCACATGGGTGTAGGTAATCTGCAAAGTATATTTTAGAATATTCATAAAATGCAAATTTAAGAAAGTTAATGTAGGTGCTGAAATTAAGAAGGTAGGCTCCCAGGATAGTGAATAGGGAGGGGTAGGACCTAGGAAAGGAGTCAGAGCAGAGAAGCTGACTTGTTAGATGTCTAATGATAGCTTATAGTAGTGCCAAAATATAGCCAATTAAACCCAAGAGTGCATAGAGTTATCCAAGGCTAACCTGAGATGCACAAAACCAAGATTATTTAGGCTCAGAATAAAAATTGTGGCTGGCATAGTTATTCTGGTTCATATCACTGTGCACTTTATCTTAAAAATTACCCAGCTTAAGTTAAGTACATTGCGTCAACTGGGATTTTTAGTCTTAACTTTGACTTTGTGCTGATCAAGTGGAAATTGTTATTAGCCATTCAGAGACACTTTCAACCATGCCAACCATTTTTTGCATCAAGCTCTAAGTGCTATAAATTCCACTTCAGTATCAAAAAAAAAAGAAAGAAAGAAAAAATTAAAAATTTTTAAAAATTGGTCCAGATTGGAAAGGCAGCTTTTGGGAAAGTTCGTTTCTCATTCAGAAGAGAAGCCTTTTGTCCTTTAAGTGTTGGGTTTTTTTATTTTGTTACACAAACGGTGCCCGTGGAGAGGACACTGCCTGTTTCCATGCTGCCTCCGAGCACGTCCCCCCCCAGGCAACACCCGGCGTCAGCCCGCCAAAGCTCTTGCCTCTTCTGTTGTTTTCTTTTTCCTCTTCTGAACCTTGCCACCCTGGCTCCAGCGCTGAGGCTGTAAAAGAAGATGGAAAGCCAAGTTACCGCAGAATGATCACTATCATTAACATTCACGGGTGGTTCACTTATCATTCCTGACTGCACAGACATGGCAGCCGTTATGAAACGTCCACAGGTGTAGCACGATGATACATATTACATTGTGCCACAATGGATTTATGTATTCTGTAACAAAAGAAAAGTGTAATGAAAAAATACAGAAGGTAATCCTTTATTCCTCCACTGCACAATTTATCAGTAATGCCTGTGGATGATAAGTGCCAGGGATTTCCTTTGCTTGATTTAACCTTGTCACCCAGGTATGTTTTTGCAAAATGACAAAAAATACAAGCTAAGGAATTTCTTTGGCTTCCAATTTGTAAGCAGCAGTTTTAATTGATTGAATAGCATCTGCTCGTCTGTCCCGTTTTCTAGTGCAGTGACTTAAAATAAAGGTATCACACGTTAGCAGAGTAAGCTAAAACATGTAATTTATAATCGTAATTAAGGATATGCTGGAAGTAGGTTGAGTGAGGACAGTTCATGCCCATTATCAATGCGGAGCATAACTGGGAAGCTGGCAAGGTAAGGTGGGGCGTGTGTTTCTTCCAGAAGAGCCTCACTGTGCTATTTTCACATAAAGGTGGGTTGCGGTAGATTGATGATGTTTTAGGCGATCCAGTGCGGAGGGTGGCTCCAAGACTCCCTGCGTGTTTGATAGTGCTCCAGCGCGCTGGGGACGGCGCGGGGCTTCTCCTCCCCTGCGGCGCACGAAATGTGCTCTGACACGCTGGCCTGACCCCAGGATGACGGCAGAATCTCTTTGGTCTGGGCTTAAATCCACTCTCGGCTCAGATTTGTGGGTTTACTGAGTGCTAAGATGTCATTATTGAGGTTCTGTGGTGTATTGTTAGAGGGAAACAGCACTGCATGCTTAGTGAGCTGGAGCAAGGGAAGGGGAGAATCGTGCGTCTGAGCTGGGACGGGCGTTTCAGACCCTCTGGCTCTGTTCCAGAGCAAATATCCAAAAGTTTACAAATGCGGGGTGCACTTTACATTTCACTGCTCTTGCCAAAGTCTCGCTTGCTGGATAGCACACTAAATATAGTAAAACACAGAGGTTTTTCTTATTTTGCTTTGATCAGTAAAATAAACTTTTAAAGATTGTTCTGGGATGAGATCCAGCTTCTGAGGCAAAGAATGGCTGTGGCTCAGCCATGAGTTAGTAATAGAGTGTCAGGAAAATTAGTCTGACAGTTCTCAGGCCAGCTGCTCAATAGAAAGAATCGACCAAGTTGGGATGGCCTGAGACACGAGCGGGATCAACAGCAGCATGTGCTCTTTAGCAGCTGAGGTGTTGGGAATCGAAAGACAATCTTCTGTTCTCGGGATGTTCAGATACGTGTTGGTGTGAGCAGCCCGAGCTGGGTCAGCCGTGGTCGGTTGCCGTCGTTTGCTTTGCACCCAGCGGGAAGCGGGGCTGATCCGTGGTGTAGGCTGCAGGCCCTGCTTTGTTTGTGGGAGAACACATTTGAAAAACATTTTGTACTAAAGGAAAAAAAAAAAAATTGTGACTCCAGTCATTTTGGCCATAAAAGGTTTTGGAAGACTTTCTTCACCTTCGCTGTTTTTTTTTTTTCTGCAGTATTTTAATTTATTTTCCTATATTTTGGCTGCAGTTCTCTGGGAACCTTCTTTCTGTATTGCAGAGCATTATATGAATTACCTAAAGATGCCAGGTGTCTTTTGAATTGGTGTTCTGGTGGTTGGGTCCAGTGTGTAAGGCTTTTCTTGTAGCGCTTCATTGACAAACATCGTGTCATTTAAATAAAAGCACAAAGGTAGTTTCCTTTTTGTAATTACAGTATAATTGGATAAGAGGTTTTTTCACTTTAAAAAATCCACTAAATTTAGCTCAGCAAGTCAGTTTGGACCAGAGCTGTAATGACTTTGGGAAGCGAGGTGAACGACCAGGAAGCTGCTGGGCAAAGGCAAGGTGTTGTGTGGTGCCTGTGCACGTTGCAGGGCTCCACAGCAGCTTAAGGGAAGATTTGCTCATCAGTGAAGAGTTTAGGAAGGTCTCTGCTCACTGTATGGCATTCATCAAAACCCCTGAATCCTTGGGCTGTACGAGGATGGCAGTCTCACCACTGCAGACATGGATGGTACTCCCTCATGTGGAGCAGAGGGCTCAGTTCTGCTCGTTCTGTATTAAACACATGGCAGAAATAGAGAGGGAAATAGTAGATGCATGAAAAGGTTGGGAATATTTGGTTTGAGGACGAGTAAGATAGAGTTATAAATAATAAATGGTCTAGAGAACATAAATTTTGGGCTTTTAGGCAGTTTCATTTGGCCAGGAACAAAGGGAATTGAGAATGAAATTCAGATGAGACTAACTCACAACTGATGAGAAGGAAACGCTGTTTTATACCAGTGGCTTGTGGGACAGTCTGCTGTGGGGTGGGGAGCCCGGGGGTGTGCTGCCCGAGGACTGGGGGATGCTTTGAAAACAGACCCATCTGATATGTTCTTACAGCATAGCAGGCATTTTTATTTTTTGTAGTGCATAAATGACCACTTCTTGCGGATTTCCTGACCATCTCTTCAGCCTGTTCCAGCCTCTCTTGGCAGATGACATTAAGTTGAAAAGCTTAACTGGGGTAAATAAGGTAGCTCTGTGCTGTGAGTGGGGTAAAAGGAGACAGTGTGTGCTTGCTGTTCTGATAGCTGCAAGAAGAGCGCGAGTGAGCTGCAGGACAGCAAGCTGGTGGCCAGCATGTGCCCAGGCAGGGAGTTTGCTGGCCGCCGTGTCTGCGCTGCAGCCAGTGGCCAGGAGCAAGTGTTAATGTATGGTGAGGGCTTGAAGATGCCATTTATTCATCTAGGCTGTGTCACAGCGTGGACTAGGGATGCCACATCTGAAGTGATCTGAACTCAAACTTGTATTCTCTCTCTCTTCAAGTGACATGTAATATGGTCTTGTTTTCAATGATGTAATTGTGTTGCTTGGATTGCTTTTGACTGCCAGTTGCTTTTAAAAATATTCCAGCTGTGATATTCATATAGAGCTCTGCTCCCTGATTAAAATTCCTAGTTGCCAGATACAAAGCTCCTCCTCCTGTCTAAATAGCTTTGCAAAACAGTTTTTTCCATGCAGTGCAAATCTCTCCCTGTGGGTGCCTAGCAGCTCTCAAATTTCTGTGCTAACTGTCTGCAGTGACATCTACTGACATGAGCAGAGATTGACTGCAAGGTCTAAGGGGCAAAATTTACTGATACGTTAATCCAGTATCTCTTCTATTTTATTGTCATCTTCTCTGCTTCCCCAGTGATGCCACTTTCAATATTTGGCTGACGGTATCTTCCGTAACCGTCCCCGTGCCGTTTGCGGTGTTTCCCCCAAGTGTGGACTCTCCTGCGGACAACGGCCAGGACAAGTACCCCGCTGTTGTAAACCTTTCAGTGAGATTTGGTGCCACGATGTTCACAAAAATGTGTCCAAAGAAAGCACGTTACTTATGTTTGAAATAATGCTATACATTAATAGCGCTGAAAAGCTGCTGTTATTTCTCTGAGTGTTGTTCTTCCACTTCTCCTTAATGATTTGTTCGGTCTGCCATCGGGACGTGTATGAAAATGACATTGCAAACTGTTTCTCTTGTATGCACTGGAATGCCTAGCAGATACTTAATAATGAGTGGTTGAGGAGCTCCGCAGGTACATTTGCTCATTTTTCTTTTTTAATGATGAACATAAATTGATCAAAAATAAAGATAAATTAGGAAAATCCTTACACACCTTGAATCTCAATCCATTTTCTCCGTTTTTGTCTCTGCCTTTCTAAGGGAGTTCGCTCAGTTTCTCCTTTTACCTTACTTTTGTAGCACAACTTTGTTAATTGTTGTGCCTAACAAGTCCTTTGCTTGAAACTAACGACAATTGCAGTGAGCTGCCTGATGGTGATTGTTTTGTAAAAATGCATGTGCATCTGTCTTGCAGAAATGCTGCTCATGGATTCTCACTTATTCAGGTGGACAGTATGAAGGTCACCATGAAGGATATCTTACAAAAGGCCTTAAAGAGAAGGAAGGGATCACAGAGAGGCTCAGGTGGGTTATTTATTGTATTTTCTAGAGGGTAGGGTGCTTTTCCATGAGCATATTTTATATCTCTCTTTAACTGTTGTGAAAGATGCTCAGGTTTTTTCAGTGGGTATTGTGATTTTCAGCACCACTCAAAAGCAGTTCTGTGCACAGGTTTGTGTTCTAGATACTGGCAAAAAGCAGACAGTGGAGGAGCTACATAATGTTTGCTGCAGAGCAGTATATCCATTACTGCAAATATTTATTTATGATAACAAAGCCATTTGCATTCAAGTCCAGCTAGTGGTAATCTGAGATGATGGGTGGAAATACAGTAAGACCAGTCCTTGATAGAATTTGTATACTTTTAATTTATGTAAGAAAAATGATGCTTAGTATGATTTTAAATAATTTAAAGGATTCATCGTTACTTGTAGAGAAAAAGAAAAAATTACTTTCTGCAATGTTGTCAAAATAGTACTATTATAGTTAAGACATATCACCATTTAAAAAAAGAAAATTTACAGTACTTGCATTTGTATTTTAAAGCAATGCTTTTCAGGGTGTAAATGTGCATTCACATATATGTTAGTATGTATATTTCAAAAGTATAAAGCTGAGAGATCTTTCCAGCAACAAGAAATAATTACTGTGAGAAATTGCACCGGGTCTTGTCACGCAACAAAGGAACTTTAATATAAACCTACCTATATACTAGGTAAAGATAAGGATCTTGTCTTTGTAAATGAATGAAACCTCCTTATATACCCTTGGTTTTAACTATGGGAGAAGAAAATAAACCCTGTTCTCTTTAGAAAAAGTAGTTCAGTGCAGTTTTTAAACGAGTGTATAATCTGTCATGGATTTAATTAGCTATCTTCAGATGAGAGCTGAAGTTTTAATAAAAGTTAGAAGAGATAACACAGTGAAGGACACGGATGAGCTGTCTCAAGGCCATATTCCAAGGGAACGATAAGAGCTGTAAAAAATGGCAGAGGAGAGCAATTGAATGAAGCAATGAAAATCTGATTCTCGTAAAAAAAAAAAAAAAAAAAAAAAAAAAAAAGGCGGGGGGGTAGAGAGAGAAAGATGCTGGTAGGGGTGGTTGTAGATGAGACCCGCCAGCGTCTGCAGCAATTTGGCTGCTGGCCAGGAGTCATTGTTCACCCTCGGCTGTGGCGGCTCGGTCCAGATGTGCCAACTGCACGTTCCGGCTTTTGCCAGCTGACTGCGCCGTTTGATAACCAGCTCTCTGGATGCCCATCACTGGCCGCAGAGATAGAATTAAATGATGATGATCTTCCCACAAGTTGGGAGAGGAAACAATGCATATAAATCTTGATTTCATCTCAGCGTGAGAAGTCTTTATCCATCATCACTCATAATGAACAAGTCGTTAGCTGCGATGAATGGTGTTCTGTTTTTTCCAAACACCTCTTTTGTTCACTTTTTGGGTGACTTTTATTTATTTCCTGGGGTCAGATTTCTCTTCCCTGAAGGGAGGTGGCTAAAGGATTCACTTAGCTCAGTCTTTAAACTACTTTCCTCCTTCGTGTAACAGATGTTTTACTGTTTGTCTGTTTGAAATTTGGTTTTGCTTTTATTTTGTTACTTGTGCTCAGCAGTTTAGAAATGGAATGGACCTGTCATTTATTCCTCCAGCTAATACATTCGTTTCTACTGTCTTGGCACTCCTACTCAGAAACCTGTGTAGTAACAGGCTATATAAGCATGTATGTATCATTTGGGGTTTTTTTAATTATATAGGAAATCATACTAAATTTCATAAGAAATTACTTTTTATAAATTATCCATGTGACATCTCACCTCTTTGAGCTACGACCATCATCCCTGCTGTGGATGTAACCACAGAAGGAGTCACAACTTAAAACCTTTTGGTTACTTACAGGTATATTTACGTTTGAACATGTAATTGGATTTCTTGAAAAAGTCGGTGTTGCTTGCAGATTTCAGTTTAAGCTTGCGTATAGTTAGGTCCAGAATTAGGACCCGCAGTTGTAAGCTTCATGAATTGGAGTCACAGCGAGAAGAGTGATCGCTCTAGGGAAAGGTTTCTGCTTGAATTCCCATATTATTGAATTTCATAAATGAAATATTTTTTGTTTTGTTTTTTAAATATTGGTGAGGACTCATAATGCATTATTGAAATTGTAATGTAATACTGTCACATGGGTGAAGGGACTTCTCAGGTTAGATATTTATGTATTAAATTGGTAAATCATGAATTAAACTTTTTTATTAAAATTATCTTGCCTTATCCAAAACTTCCCTTATTCCCAATTACTTCCCTTATCCAAAACTGTGATTCATCAGTCAGCATATTTTGGGGGGGCAGGGGGCTTTGGAGGGTCTTGTCTGTCACCTTTAAAACAGCAGAAATGGCAGCTGTCTGCCCAGAGGGGTCCTCCTGCTTGCACTGCCCTCTGGATCCGAAACAAGCCTCTCAGAGTCCCCTTTGCTGCCGCGAGCAGAGCGGGGTGGAAATGCCGCCCGGGCTAAAGGACAGTTAACGCTCAGGATGCCACCGCAGTGGGCATGGCTAGACTGGAGCAAGGGTAGAAGAAGATTTTGTCATCATTCTTCATCTACCACCAGATTCTTCATATTTGGAGTGGATGTGCCTCTTACTTTCATTGGGAGAAGCACGGCTAAATGGAATTTAACATCAGACTATTAACACAGTACGGTCCTGTGCCGTTGTAGTTCAAGTCACTATTAAGCAGAGGATTAGGGTGTCAAAGTCCTGAATAAAAGATAAGACGTAATTTAGGAAAAGCATTTCTTCTCATTCGGCAACACTTCCTTTTAAGTTGATTGTTCTGATTTTTAAAAAGTACTAACCAAAAATAGACTTAACGTTTATTTAAAGCTTTTGTAACAGTTTAATAAAACTGGAATGCCTATGAACTTTTCTGCACATTTTCAATGTGCCTCCGGACCAGTCTTCACAGGACAAATGGATTCATTATGTTTACAGCTCGTGCTGTTTTCAAGTACTTGTATAAGAAACTGCTTTCTGACCTATTTTCACCACTGACTCACATGACATTTTTCAAATTGGTCCTATGTTTGTAGGAAAATGCAAACCTTGGTTGGCTGTTTTGAGTGAAGAATTTCCATTGTATAGTCAGGAAGGGGTCATGCTTTTAGCCCAGCATGACCAGGGCTAAAATAATAGACTAGTTTTCTTTAATTATTTTATTCAGCCAGTAATCTGCAGCTTACAAGTAGGTTTTTCAACAAGCAATTGAGTCACAAGTTCCTGAAAATCTATAAGCCTCGGTCACCTGTATGAGTTGATGACCTTCTGAGCTTCTCTATTTTTGACTTTTGTTTAAAAGTGCCATTGCCATCCTTGCAGCCTTGCCTACCTCCTGGAGCACGAGGCTGATAATGACACAGTTTCTCTTGACGAAGGGTCGCGCAGAGCCCAGGTTTCCGCACGTTCTGTTTCAGCACATGCACTGGCATTTGTGTAGCTGTAGTGTGAACTATCCCTGTAAAAAATAATATCAATGTGTTTGTTTCAAAATCTCATTTGTTGAAAAGACTAAAGCTGAATAAAGACTTTTGACCGCAATTTAACTTCAACGAAAGATTATTTGTTGCAGGAAGATATAGGTCAGTAGAAGGAGATAGAAGTTGGGTACAACCTTTGTTTCATAGTGGCTTGAAAGAAATGGAAGCAATATTCTGATTGTGCCTAGCTCTATTTAGATATTATGTTAGATAAAATTATTGCAAACTATTCAAACTATTTCACATTCCTTGCGCTTTTCCTTTCTTAGTGTCACAAGGCTTTTGCCTTAGAGGTATGAATTCTGAGCATTTTTAAATAATAATTTTTGAGTCAGTCAACAGAAAATGCAGGTGGTAGAATAACCTGTATGTGTTATAGCTGAGAGAACCACAGCCCTTGAGTCATTTCATAGAGGACATGGTGGTACGGAAGCAGTGCTTTGGGAGCCCGGTGACCTGTCCCACAACAGGCAGCAGCAGGGGCTTAATGGGAATACTGTATCATCTCTTGCCATGTGCCCAAATAACCAACTGGAAGAACTGCATGGGAATGGCTGCAAGTTAGGGAAAAGTCTGTAACAACTAGTCGGTGCTACATACTCGAGAAGATAAATCTGCAGAGGAAATTGTTAAGGCAGATGTTTAATTAGTTGGAGTCAGGCTGGATAAATCAGGGTAGGAACTGTCTTTGCAGATATGCTGGTGTGCCTTCCTTTTCTCTGGGCTGGTTTCATTGTCTTAAAAAACTAACTGTTCTTTTTGCTTGGGAAAGAAGCAGCAAAAACAGTCATATAACCTCTGTGTTATTGTAATGGATTCCCTTGTGTACACTCATAAAATAGAAAATGTAATTGATGTTTTCATATGGTAATGAAAAATAACTAAGTAGAATACTTTATCATCAATTTGTTTAACCTATTGCGTGCTCAGCAGCATGTACTGCACATGCATATTTTACGTGAGAGCTGGAAATAAAACACTCTTGGTTGTGGAATGAGCTCCCAGAGGAGACTGGTCTAATCCAGTGATGGACCACCTTGAGGGAGGCTCAGTGACATCTCTCATGGAAGTGAGTTTTCTCAAAATAGCCAGAATGGGAGAGAAAGAGACTAAGGATGGGGTGATACCCTAACCACGGCGGGCCACAGCAGTGAGGAGAGAAGAGCTGGAAGCTCTCTTCAGTGCTGCAGGGACCTTGCTGTGCATATCACATTGGCCTGGGCAGTGCTGAGATGCTGGGATAATGGCCCTATAGAGAACCCCAATATCCATAGATAGTTTAAGGATTGCTTTATATAAACTTGCCATGTCTAGATCTCTTTGAGAATGTTTTTGAACATTGTGAGCACTCCAGCAGCTGATGGTTTAAATATAAAATTGGTCTGCAACATGGCAGATCTACAGAAAGGGAATCACATGCTTGAAATGATGAGCATAAGAACTTCTCGTTCTTCCTGAATTTATCAGTGAAAATGTCAGATATTCTGGATGCTGTCTGGATTTTGGACATATATAATAATGGAGTCTTGAAAAGCCTTTTTAGAAGGTGAGATTTGGGTAGTTTAGTACTTGGTATAATTCTGCTCCCTAGAAATCAGCAAGAGTCATAATATTAACTTCTAAAAAGGGTAGATATTAGGCATGCTTTTAAAATCCCACCTTCATGTTTTGCAGAGAAAGTTTTGTAGGTCGTACAGATCATGTTGCGTAACTGTAAAACACCATTATCAATGTAACTTGATTTGCTTTACTGCTAAATGATTTTCATACACAATCAATCTGGTGTGTATTTCTGCTGGTCTTACTTTTACCAGTACTTACGTGTTACTCAGCCTAGGGAATTTAGGTTATGGTAGATGTACATTTTACATCGTACTTTTTAGGAAGGCTCTCAGTTGCACCAGGGAAAGCACAGTTTTTCCAAGATGAGATGCAGAGACCCTTATGTTCAGATACCACGGCACAGCTATGGCTGGGTCTGACAGCATCCCACAATGTAGCATGGCAGTAGGCAGGTAGATCTTATCAGGCTTTTTATATCTCCACTAAGGCCCGCATTCAGTATTCTCTATAAAATATATTTGCATGGCTTACAATTTTAAGAACATAAGAAAGATGATTACTTCATTCTTGATACTTTCTGTATCTTGATGCCATGGTGATTCTCAAATTAAATACGTGCAGGAACTATATGCACACTTGAAAGTTACCTTCCTCGCCTTTGAGCTCTCTCATTCCTTTTGCTCTTCAACAAATACATTCTCTGCGATGCCAGTTGCTTTTTCGTCCAGAGCTTGACTGAAGGCACTATCAATACTAATGTAAAGTAAATAAGAATGCAGAGAGAATGTGTACAGAGGCTTTGTTTTCAAACAAATTAAGCATTGATGTCAGTATATAAAAACCGAATGTTCTCAGAAGGAAATGAGAGACAAA